GCCGCCTCCCGGGAGTGCCGTGCGCCGCAGCCCGGGCCCAGGCCCCGGTAGCGCCTGGGACAAGGTAAGGGTCCGACAGAAAAGAGACCGAACCTCACGATCGGGCCCCAGGGGTGGGAAGGGTCACCTCCTCCGTCTCCCCGCGCTCGCTCTCCTTGGGTCGTGGGCCTGGCCCTCCCCAAGCTCTTAGCAGGAGGATGCTGCCCCTTCTCATCCCCCTCGCCGCCTCGCACACACCGTTGCAGCACCCCATTTTCCCAGGGAGAGAGGCCCCGTCTAACCTAGGCGACCCAACTCCCCTTTTCATGTCTTTCCTGGGTCAGGACGCTTCCCCTCCCCCCACGCCTCTTCACCCCCTTTCCTGGGAACTGCCTACTCTACGTTTACCTTTCTCTTGAGGAGAGGCCTCTCGCTGCCCTCCGCTCGAAATACACAGGCATACTTTTTTTCTCTCCCCGATCCCCCACTCCCTACCCCCGTTCTCGCGGCCTTGTGACAGACAACTCTGATCGCTCTGGGGGCCGCGATCTCCCCTCCGTAATCTTCCTGGACGCCTTCCCTCTCGTTTGCTGGCTTCCCACCTCAGATGGCTGCTTCCCAAAGGCATTACCTTCGCCACCCCCACCACACGTTCTCTGGCTCCCCGTGGCGTGTGCCCCAGCGTGTCTGAGATAGCCTCATTGAATGTGTAGGGTTCGATCCTGGAGTTGAGCCAGATTGTGTCGTTTTACTTGCCTTGGGCGTGGAGAGCGATCTTGTGAGAATATCTTCAAAGGCAGAAAATTTTACCCTTTATGAATTCTCTTTTCCTCTGCTTGTAAGTCGGGAATGTAAAGAGGAGGGTAGGAAAGAGCCCTGGTTCAAGTAGGTAAATCGCGTGAGAGGGAAAGTTTAACTGTTGGGAAAGCCCCTTCTATGCTAATTGATTCTATAGAGCCCTTGCATGTCTCACTTATTGGGCGTCAGTGGTCTTTCTCTCGGATACGGATGCTGCAGCCAGCTCTGCTGGTCTGGTTCAGGGGTGCGTGTATGACCTGCATTTTCTGCTTTCTCATGTTACTTGTGCAATGTATTCACCAGTAACTCATTTCTTTCCCAGACCTCTGGGTTCCACTGGGCTTTGTCTATATTTAAGTTCATTTCTCCAATTTCCTTCGTGCACATAGGTACTGAACGAATCCCCAAGTTCTCTGCTAATTCCCTTCATTACTTGACTAAACAAGTTGTTTTTAGATGACATATTTGTGACCAAGGTCATATTTACATTTCTTTGTTGGGCAGATGTTACATAGCTATACTTGTGATTGGGGAGGATCCAGCTGAGTGGAGTGTGCTGAGCTTTTCAGGAGAGTGTGTACTCCCTGTTTGAAATTATTTTTTGGTTGTTAATTTTTTTATTATTGTTTTTAGGTCACAGAAAGTTGTAAGTGGTAATTTTAGATGTGTGTGATCTGAGCTAGGACTAAAGCAGAGAATACTCACATAAGCAGAGGTTTCTGGACTCCATGGAGGACATAGGGCATTTTTTTTTTTCTATTGGATTTCTTCCAGTTTTCTCAGGATCATTAGTTCTCTTCTGTAGCCAAAAATTCTGGCCTGTTATGGGATTAGAGTCTTTAAGGTTTACTCAGACTGTCATTATGTGTAGAAAAATGAATTATGCCCTTTGGTAGGACATGACACAAGGCTCTGTTTCTAGCTGCAAATTTAAATTAGACTGTAGAGTGCTTGGGAAATTGGCTTGCAAAAGACGAAAGCTTAATCTTCACTTCTAAACTGCTGGCTTAATTAAAATGGATATTTAGAATTTGGTAAATGTTGATTTTTCTAATAAAAGGCCTTGGTTTAAAAGGGTGACCTTAGGATTGTTTCTTTCTAAAAGCATAATTCCAGCCCTTCTGGCATGAAGCACTGGTTCAAAAAAAAAAAGTGTGTGTAAGGAGTGGGGGTGGGGTAAAGAGAAGGTTGTTCCTTTGGGTTGGATCACAGGGGTGAGTATACAAGGCAGCAGCAGCTGCTGGCTCTGGAGCTCTGGTTGCTACGTGAGAAGCTTGAGTAGTGCTGGCTGCTGTCTCCAGGGAAGGACAGCAGTGCAGCGTCCATTAATGCTGCTGGCTGCAGGGAGCAGCACTTAGGCGATGGCTGCTTCAGGACTAAGAAGAAACCTTGCTTTTCTGGGAATTTTCACTGCTGAGCTGGTTTGCTTTTTATTGGTGGGGAGATGGGAATTAGCAATTCATAACCTCCTACCCATTTATGGGTATTGGCATCTGGAAAGTGGATCATAAAGACTTTCTTTTTTTGTTTGATTTGGTTTTTGTTTTTTGGCAGATATTTGTTTTTTATCTAGATATTTGTGCTTGGATAGGACTAAAAGTTCCATTAGAGTTTTAATTTTTGAATCAGTTAAAAAACCCAAGTAATAATTTTAAGGATCTTTCTGATAACCACAATGGGAAGAAAATAACAGGAATTTTTTTTCCTGCAACTGACATATCATGTTTTCCTCCATCTCTTTAATCATAGAATCAATTCTTATTATTTTGTTATGTGTCTCCTTTCTATTAAACCGCATTTACCTTATAGATGATTTGCTAAACATTTTACTAAGCTTGGACTCTTAAACTCTAAAAAAAGGTGCCATTTTGGAGTGGTTTCTAAATAAATATTATTTCTTCTTAATTTGTGTATTAGTAATAAACTTCTCCGGATTAGATATTTTCTTTGGAGTTTGACTTATAAGATTGATTCATTATATACTTGTTGTATATAGCCTTCTGACATCACAAATATATGTCTTTGGCCGTAATCCATCTGAAATGTAGGACACACCAGAAGAAATATGCAGAAATCAAATAAGTCTAGTTCAGGATACTGAGAAGATGGCCTCTGAGCCCCTTAGGTGATCTCCCCTCCCCCACAACTCTTGAACATTAGGATGATCTCTGATTAAGCAAAACAATCTGAGCGTGGAAAAGCTTGAAGGAGAACCACCACCACCAATTGTATGCGATACTGGACATATGCATGTGTGCTGTTTTTCTCCCCCAAGACTAATGTATCCTATACTTTTTTCTCCTCAGAATTTTGATTTGTTCATTTTTGTGTAAATGTACTTAAATCTCATAAACGTCTATAATTTGTAGTATGACTCTGGCATTTGTGGCAGAGAACCAAAAAGAATGGAAATGAGTTTTGTCATTCACAAATGTGGCTCACGTTGTTTTCCCAGTAATAAAAGCAGACCAGTGAAACAGAACCTTTAATGGATACTGTTTTAGGAGGTTCCAATTCTTATTACTATCACATAGATAAGATGCAATAGCAGATAAATATGATTTCATGTGTACTGGCTGTTTGACATACTTAGGGTTTAAGATAAAAATGTCTGCAGTTTTTTACCATGTGACTTAAGTTGCCATATAAAATAATTGCTTTTTCACTCGAATTTCCGGTTGTTTGGAACCTTTTGTGCTCTTGATATAATCACTTTCTAGAGGATCATACCGGGCCTTTTCATAGAAGGATTTACTTAAGTAATACCCTTGAAAACTTTTTTATATCTTTTGATACTGTTTTCTGTCCAGGTACTGACTTTCTGAAATTATTCTGGCTTTTCTGGGGAGAATGACTATTTCATTTTTACCTATGAATGGGGAAATAATAAAGTGCAAAGTACAAATTTGCAGATCATTACTTTTGCTTTATCCTTTCCATATTGAAATAACTTATGAAAAATTAGGCCGTAGTTAACAGCAGTCAATGACTATTGAATACATTTTATCAGAGGGAAACTGGATCATGAATAAAATAACATTTTAAAAATAATTTTTGGCTGAACTCTGGTGATTCATCAGTTTAATTTGAAGTTAGGTCTAGCAGTGAATTTTATTTATAAAAATTGTATTTCAAGTGTTGAAAACTGGAACTTCTAGATAGTATGTTTTGTTTGAGGCATAAAATTTTGTGCAAAATGTGTAATGTATATTTGGTAATATAATTGGTAGTCATTTGTAATTAAAAATGTTTTTTCAAAGGTACTCTTTAGAAAATAAGTGTAATGTACCTATAATGGGCAGGGATTGGTACCATTCCTTACTGCCAAAAATTCCAAAATATGTGGTATAGTGATTGATTTCTCTTGTGGTTGGGATTCTGAGAAGTTCGTGAAAGATGGAGAGAATACAGTTTCCTTCACTTACCTGTATACATTTTGTTAAGTCTTAGGAAAACTGTTTTATTGTATCTTTAATTATGAAGTGCATAAGATACCCAGTAACTCTGAGGGGAGGTGCTCTTAGAAAGCATTACGTTGGAGAATTCCCTTACCCTAGGACAAAATGCGTTCAGAGTCTTTAACACTTAGTGAAGGGAACTATAGGCTATAATAAACAAACAATGAAGGTAAGCTCAGTCTGCTTTCTGTGTACCCTACTGAGCAAGGAATTTGTAATCCCATCGTGCCTCGCTCGGTTATTCCATCATATTGATTTTGTTTGCTGAATACCTGAGGGAATAGCTTACTTAATGTAAGGTCACATTAAGTATGTTTGATATGAAGACAGGGAAAGGAATTTTCTGCTTCTTGGAATAATATCTTAGTATTTTTAAAACACTAAGTTTTTATATCAGGCCAGTTTTGCCTGATGCTCATGTCTGTTGCTTTGGTTGGGCTGCTGCTTTCTCTTCTGTGCTCTTCTGGATTCCTTGTGGTATAATGATTCCCAGAGCTTTCGTGGCAATTTGAAGTAATAAGAAGCATTGCCTTAGCCATGTTAGTTATGTGTACACTTTTGGCCTATGTTATGAATCACAAAAAGCGGTGCTATAGGAATGTATACAGAATAGATTTCTGTCTGGGGAATCAAGTTTTTGATTTGTGCTACCTAATGGAGGGAAAAATGCTGAATTTCTTGCTGCTCTGTTTGAGAAATAGATGGAAGCATGGGAGGAGCCAGAGACCTCTGCAGCAGGATTTGGTCTAAGTAGAAAAGGAAGATTTTTGTTTCAAATTGCCAGCTGCTTATGTCAGACTGACTCCCTTATTATGCCTCCAGTAGGCCT